CAAGTGCTGTTTTGTTTTGTTTTTTTTTACTAAAACAGTATTTGAGGTTACAAGAAACAACCTATAATGTTTACAAGAAACAACCTATAACGTTTATTTACTCCTACTCTGGTTCACAGAATAAGAGGATCATAAAACATTAGAATTTGAAGGGGCTTAGAAATACTCTAGTCCAATTTTGGTAATTTTGAAGATGTGACTGTCATAACTGAATGATTCCCTAAATGCATTATCTATTTACTATGCAGGAGGTACTTCCACCCTAGGAAGTGATGCTCCTGGTAGACATTCATCAGGCCTTCTTAACGATGCTAGCTCCTATTCTGGAGTGCTTGCCTAAGCTGGGGATGGAGAGGCAGAGACAACAAAGAGAAAAGGGAGATAAAGAGAATGGATTACTAAGAATGCTGCAGAGCCTTCATCCTGGGAAGTTTTCAAGATTAGATGATATCTTTAATTCCTTTCCAACTCTATTACTCTACCAACCATAGACCACAGGATTAGGAAGAGGCAGTTTAGCCTGGAACAATGAACCACAGGATTGCTCTGTGGGGAGAGGGGGTGGAAATTACTGACCCTTTCTTGAACAAGTGCAATCAATAGCCTTCATGAATTTATGGAACACGAACAAACTTATTTTGGTCCTCTATCTAAAATTTCCACTGCAGATCCTGTCGACTCAGCCCTTCAAAACCATTTTTCGTCTCCAGGCCTCATTCCTATTATAATCACTCTCTCTCCTACATTTTTGACATTCTGACATTTAAATATTTGTTGGCTCTAAAGCATTTGTGTTATTTAGATGTTTTCAACACAGACTTTTGCTCTTTTGGAAGGCATTATGTGAATCTATTAAGTAAATATATTTTTTAAAAGGATAAAGAAATAAGCAAAAATAATTTAAATGAAATAAAGTTAAAAGAGAATGATTTGGCCTGAAAAAAAGAGAAAATTTAGAATATCCTACATGAAAGATATCTTTTAACAACTGAAAGACTGCCTCAGGAGGCATAGGTGCTATTTCCGTGGAGATGTCCAAATAGAATCTTGATGACTGTGTGATGAGTTATAGTAAGAAAGTTTTATTTTTTTTCCGCCGAAGCTGGTTTGGCTCAATGGATAGAGTGTCTGCGGACTAAGGGGTCCCACGTTCGATTCTGGCCAAGGGCATATACATTGGTTGTGGGCACATCTTCAGTGGGGGGTGTGCAGGGGGCAGCTGATCGGTATTTCTCTCATTGATGTTTCTAGCTCTCTATCCCTCTCTCTTCCTCTCTGTAAAAAATCAATGAAACATATTTTTTTTAAAGAAAGTTTTATTCCCCTCCCCCATTTTTTAAATATGCAATTCAATAATTCCACACAAAAAGTCCCTATAAGGAAATACATATTAGCCATTCTACCTAATTTAAACATACAGCAAACAGTCTTTCATTATAATAAGAAAGGCCACACTCTGAAAGAAAAAAGTTGTAACTAAATAGGTTGCTGCACACTGAAATGATCTCCCACTGAAATGATCTCTACCTGCAGTAGAGATTTTTGAAATAGATATTACCACCTTGTTCGAGTGTTTTAGGTAAAACATTGCTTGGAAGCAAGGAGTTAGACTAGTTGAACTTTACACATTTATTCCCACTCTAAGATAGAAATAGCTGCTACACAATTTCCCTTTCTGTATGCACTATAGATAGATATTCCCTTCCCCGAGATAGTCTAGGTAATTTTTTCCTTCTCTCATAACCAAAAATAGATTAGTTTTCATGAGCAAATCACTTAATATCACTTCTATCAAATGGCAAAACTAGGATGACTTGTTCCAATTCTGTGCCCTTAAGTGCTGGACTGTTTGGCTACATTCCAAGAGCTATATTAGGAAAATACTTTCCCTTAAGTCACAATTTAAAATGGAACTATGTATCTAAACAGATATCTTGGTTCTTACATACATATTTGCCAATTGTTCCAATTACACTAAAAGCTCAATAAAAATATGAATACTTATAAAAAACATTGATTCTTGATATTCTATTAATAGAATTAATCTAAACAGAATAGTTGATAAAGATTATTATCTTAACTATTTCCCATGCTTAATTTATAGTCCCTTATTTCTTGTTCTCATTCCAGAGGTTGTTAAGCAATAGTTCTTAGGCAGCAAAAAAAGCACCAGAGGGCAAATAATTATTAAATTGATTTAGTCATACTTTTCCTTTTTTGCAATATAGGGAAGTCTGTTCAAGTTTTTGAAGAGTTTCATCTGCAAATCTGATTCAATTCCACCAATAATTTGCCAAATTAAGAGTGTAAACAGCCTAAACAAGGCAATAAGACCACAAAATTTTTCATCAGATGGGTAAGTCAGGTGAAAATTTAGTTCTTTATATCTCCCACTGAGACTCCTGAAATGGAAATCTTTTTACTAAATTAAGAAATCATAAGTATTTGCTTGTAATCAATTTAAAGGAACCATGGAAATAAGCTTTAAAATACTATAAGAAATATAAGCCAGTTTATAAGATTTCTTTGAAAATAATTTCCTAGCCCAGCTGGCATGCCTTAGTGAGTGAGCCTCAAGCTATGAACCAGGTCACAGTTCGACTCCTGATAAGGGCACAGGACCAGGTTGTGTGCTGGATCCCCGGTTGGAGACATGCAGGAAGCAGCCCATCAATAGTTCTCTCTCTCTTTCTCCCTGTTCCTTCCTCTCTGAAGTCAATAAAAAAATATTTTTAAAAACAAAAAATTATTTCCTAATTCTGAGGGTATTCCTGGCCTTAATTCTAATGTATGTTTAAGACAAACTTTCTTGGGCAAGACAGTAGCTCCCTTGGCCTGTTTTTCTTTTAGAAAACTTGAAGAGCTAGGGGGATGCTTTGATGTGAACTAAAAAGTTTATTATAATAACTAGAAAGCAGCCAGACACAAGATGTTCTTTAGTAATGTTTGAAATCAATTAAGAGAAAGAAAAAGAAATATGCAATAATACTGTCTTTTGTCATTACCTATTTAATTATCTTTACTGGTGCTCTTGTGTGTGTATATTTAAATTACCATCTAGTGCCACTTACTTTCAGCCCAATGAACCTTTTTTAGTACTTCTTGTGAGACAGATCTGCTAGCAATGGATTCCCTGTTTTTATTTACTATGTTATGTCACCTTCACTTTTGAAATACAGCTTTACAAGATATGGAATTCTTTCAGCCCTTTGGTTTGTCTTCTTACTGATTCTGGCCTCTACTCTTTTTGATGAGAAGTCAGCTGTTAATTTTACTAGGGTTACCTCACATGTGTTGTCATTTCTCTCTTGCTGCTTTCCAGATCTCTGTCATACATAGTCTTTCCATTTTTGACAATGATATGCCTGGGTGTGGATCTCTTTGTGTTTATCCTACTTGGAGTTTAAGTGTTTGGGATACCTACATGAAGGGTTTTCATCAAATTTGGGAAGTTGTCAGCAACTACTTCTTTGAATATTTTTCTGCTCCTTTCTTCTACTTCTGGTATTCTTATTGGCATACTTAATGGCAGCCTATATTTTTGTGAGGTTCTGTTTATTTTTCTTCATTCTTTATTCTTTTTGTTCTTCAGATTGCATAATCTCTAGCACTCTATCTTCAAGTTTGCTGATTCTTTTTTCTGACAACTCAAATCTACTATTGAGCTTCTCTAGTGAGTTTTTCATTTTGATTATTATAATTTCCAACTCCAAAATTTCCTTTTTAAAAAAAAATGTAATTGTGCCCTGATTGGTTTGGCTCAGTGGATAGAGTGTTGTCCTACAGGCTGAAGGGTCCCAGGTTTGATTCCAGCCAAGGGCACTGGGTTGCAGGCTCCATCCCCAGTGAGGGGCATGCAGGAGGCAGCCAATCGATGATTCTCTATCATTGAAATTTCTCTCTCTCTCTCCCCCTCTCTTTTCCTCTCTGAAACCAATAAAAGAAATACATATTTTTAAAAAAGTGTAATTGTGATAAAGTACACATAAAATGTACCATCTAACAATTTTTAACTGTACTGGTCAGTGGCATTAAGTACATTCACATTGTGCAATCATCACCACCACATCTACAAGACTCTCATCTTATAAAACAGAAACTCAATACCCATTAAGCAGTAATTTATCATTCTCTCTTACCTCATCCCCTTAAAACCCATTCTACTTTCTATCCTCGTAAATCTGACCACCCTAAGAATGATGTACAGTATTTGTCTCTTTGTGACTGCCTTATTTCACTTAACATAATACCATGTTATAGCATGCGTTAGAATTTTCTTCCTTTTTTAGGTTGAATAATATTCCATTGTGTGGGTGTGTTTATCACATTTTGTTTATCCATTCATTAGTCGATGCATATTTGGGTTGCTTCCACTTTTTGGCTATTGTAAATATGCTATTAAAATGAGTATACAAATATCTCTTCAAGTCTCTGCTTTCGATTATTTTGGATATATACCTAGAAGTGGAGTTTCTGGGACATATAGTAATTATTTTTAATTTTTTTAGGAACTGCCACACTGTTTTGCACAGTGATTGCCCAATTTTACACTCCCAACAGTGCACAAAGGTTCCAATTTTTCCACATCCTCCCCAGCATGTTATTTTCTGTTTTATTTTGTAATAGTAGCCATTCTAATGGATATGGGGTAATATCTCATTGTGGTTTCAATTTGCATTTCTCTAATAAGTATTGATGGTGAACATCTTTTCATGTGCTTATCTGCATATCTTCTTTAGAGAAATGGCTATTCAAGTCTTTGCATATTTTTAATGAGGTTGTTTGTTTCCTTACTATCAAATTGTAGGAGTTCTTTATATGTATATTCTGGATACTAACCCCTTAACAGATATATGATTTACAAATATTTCTTCCCATTATGTAGACATATATTCATTTCACTGATTTTGTCCTTTGATGTACAACTTTTATTTTTTTTTTTTTTTTTTTTTTTTTTTTTTTTTTTTTTTTTTTTTTTTTTTTTTTTTTTTTCACACTTGGCTTATCACCAGCATTTAGAAAACCAGACCTAGGGCAAGAACTAGGTCTGGGGACACATGCATGGTCTTAATATAGCGAATGTTTAGCTGATGTACAACTTTTAATTTTGATGTTCAATTTACCCATTTGCTTGTGCTTTTGATGTCCCAGCTGCATTTGGTCCTTTAAAAAAATAATAATTTCTATTCCTTTAAAGATAGACTCTATTTGATGAGTCACTGATACTACAGCTTCCTTTAGCTCTTTAAGAATAATTTCTTCTAAGTCTTTGAACAGATTTGTAATAGTTGCTTTGAAGTCTTTGTCCTCTATGTTCAATATATGGGTCCCCTCAAAAACAGTGTCTATTATCTGTTTTATTACTGCTCTATATGCATCACACTTTCCAGTTTCTTTATGTCTCCAAAAATTGAGTTAAAAACTGTACATTTTAGAAAATATATTGGAGCAACTCTGTACTGATACCCCCCCACTCACACACACACACACACCCCCCCGCCCCCGAGATTTGCTGTTCTTATTTGGTTGTTTATTTGGTTGAACCCAATTTTGTGAAGTCTTTCCCCACAGGGTGCAGCCTTTGATGTCCCTTTTCCCATTTTTTCCCCCTTTGTATTTATATTTTAGTTTGGTTTGCTAGGAGTGACCCATGGGACAACAAAAGCCACTTAATGGTCAAAGATTGTACTTAAGCCCCCTTAGCTAGATTTTCAGCTGTTACCATTAGAAAATACTTTCACAGTTCAGGAAGTAAAGGTATAAAGGAGCTATACAACAATACTCTTAATAGAGTTGTAATTATGGATCCTGTCTGTTTGGTAATAAAACCCTGAACATACGTAAAAACTCATAGAGCTGTATACCAGAAAAAGTAGACTTTACTGTAACTTTTTTTAAAGTGGTCAGGATTTGCCTTTTTTTTAAAAAAGATACCTTTATATCTATATTGCTTTTACATAATTGTATCCAATTTGATCATTGAATTTTTTGGAAGTTCACTACTTAGTATTTAATGGGGAGACAGAAAACAAAATCTTTTTTATTATAGTTTTGCCTACTGGGATCATTTCCTTTCAAAACACAATAAAGATTAAACTTTTTAAAAGAGGTATCATTCTAATTCTTAAAAGCATCTTGATGACAGGCTGAAAGCTTGAACTCCTGTGCCAAACAGCCAAATTGTGAATGGAAAAAAACAATTCTTAAAGGCAATTAAAAGTGCTATTTTTAAGGATAAGAACATAAAACAGCTTTTTGACTGACACAGAGGAAATTTTAGTACTTTGCGGGATAGATCAAATCAGCCACAACATTCCCTTAAGTCCAAGCCTAATCCAGAGCAAGGCCCTAACTTTTCTTCAGTTCCATGAAGGCTGGGAGAAGGTGAGGGAGCTGCAGAACAGTTTAAAGCTAGCAGAGGTTGGTTCATGTGGTTTAAGGAAACAAGATGTTTCTATAACATGAAAGTGTAAGGTGAAGCAGCAAGTACTAACATAAAAATTGCAGCAAGTTATCCAGAAAATCTAGCTAAGATAATTAATGAAGGTGGATACATTAAACAAGAGATTGAAACAGCCTTCTATTGGAAGAAGCCATGTAGGACTTTCATAGCTAAAGTGGAGAAGTCAATGCCTGGCTTCAAAGTTTCAAAGAACTGGTTGACTCTCTTGTTAGGTGCTAGTGCAGCTGGTTGCTTTAAGTTGAAGCCAATACTCATTTACCATTCAAAAAATCCAAAGGTGCTTAAAAAATATGCTAAATTTACTATATATGCTCTGTAAATGGAACAACAAAGCCTGGATGACAACACATCTCTTTGCAACATAGTTTACTGAACATTTTAAGCCCTCTGTTGAGAACTATGTATTGTTCAGAAAGAAAGATTCCTTTCAAAATATTATTGCTCACTGACATGGACCCAAGACTTCGGATGGAGATGTACAACAAGATTAATGTTGTTTTCCTACCTGCTCATACAACATCCATTCTTCAGCCAATGGATCAAGGAATAATTTCAACTTTCAAGTCTTATTAAAGAAATACATTTGGTAAGGTTATAACTGTCACAGATAGTGATTCCTCTGGTGGATCTGCTGAAAATCTTCTGGAAAGGATTCCATTCTAAATGCCATTAAGGACACCTGTGATTCATTAAAAGAACTAAAAATATCAATATTAATAGGAGGTTGGGAGAAGTTGGTTCCGACTTTCATGGATGACTGAGTTCAAGACTTTGGTGAAGGAATTAATTACAGATGTGGTGGGAATAGCAAGAGAACTAGAATTAGAAATGGAGCCTGAGGAGGTAACCGAATTGCTGCAATCTTATGATAAAATTTTTAATGAATGAGGAGTTTTCTCTTATGGATGAGCAAAGAAAGTGGTTTCTTGAGATGGAATCTACTCCTGGTAAAAATGCTGTGAGAACTGTTGAAATGATTACAAAGGATTTAGAATATTGCATAAACTTAGTTGATAAAGCAGTAGTGAGGTTTGAGATAATTGACTCCAGTTTTGAAAAAAGTATGGATAAAATGCTATCAAATAATTGCATGCTACAGAGAAAGAGTTTATGATAAGAAAAGTCCATCGATGCAGCAGACTGATTGTCTCATTTTTTAAAATTGCCACAGCCATCATAAACTTCAGCAACAACCACCCTGATCAGTCAGCAGCCATCAATATTGAGGCAAGACTCCCTATCAGCAAAAGCAACATGACTCGATAAAGGCTCACAGATGGTTAGCATTTTTTAGCAATAAAGTATTTCTAATTAAGGCATGTACATTGTTTTTGTAGACATAATGCTACTGCACACTTAATAGACTGCAGTATAGTGATTATAGTGTAAGCAGAACTTTTATATGCACTGAGAAACAAAAAAATGCATGTGACTTGCCTTGTTGGGATATTTGCTTTATTAGTGTGGTCTAGAACTGAACCCACAGTATCTCTGAGGTATGCCTGTACATGATCAAAAGAAGTTTCTTCTGGATCAGTCTTCAAGTCATTTTTGTTCAAGTAAGCATCTGAATTTATTTAATTGTTACTGACAAGTCCCATGGAGCCTGAAGATACTATGACTCAAAGATCGGGGGGAGATATCAAACAGAACTAGAGATGGCAAAAATCAGGCCTGACAGAAAGGTGTGTGGCTGGATGCTCTACCCTCCAAATCCCCAAGGATACTTAACTTTGCACAGTAGGTGGAAGCAGAAAATGACAGAACATCACTACAATTCTTCCTGCTCAAGCCACCACTTCAATTTCAAGTCAAGTCTATAGTAATCATTCTTTTAAAAACACACACACACCAAAATCTTTTTAATAGCTGGTCCCATTTGTAACTCCCAATCACCTCACTATATTGAGTACATTCATATCCTCTTACTTTTGCTTTTAGTCATCAAATAAAGGCAAAAACAAAACAAACAAACAAATAAATTGCCTAAAAGGAAGAAAATAAACTCAGTCCAAATCCTAAACTGAGATTTATCTTCCTCTGGCTCTTACAAAAGTCATCCTTTCCCCTGACAGACACCATCCAGTCTTTTACTTTTTCTAAGTTCATCTATAGTCTCAGGAAATACCTGCTCTACCCCTTTTAAAAAGATGTTCCTTTTCCTCTGAGCCACTTAACTTGCCACGTAACCACCCAGTTATTTCATCTTGAGGTGGCTTGGGGCATTTCCTACATCCGAGCTCATCCTGTGCAGTAGAGCTTTGTGACTCACCTAAGTTGAAATCACTTGGCAGCAATGACATGCTGATGTGGCTACCATAATTCTCACTGGGAACAGTATTTGATCCATTGAATATCTGACTATTTGGGTTAAATAGTTCACCCACATCTTTCCCCTCCTTCACTCAGAGAAAATGAAGATAAACCCACGAGGTATGTGTCCTTACTTCTACAAGGAGCCAATAGTGGCGAGAGGAATCACACAATTATTCCTAAAATATAATTGCAGGAGAAAGAGGCAGGATAATAAAGAAAGGAAGGAAAAGATGAAAAGACGAACACTATTTGTAAGGAAATTTGAAAATCCAGTTTAATTAGTTCCAAATATTTTATGCAACACTCCTATTTGAGTAACAAAACCTCTGAACCAAGGGTTAGGCCAAAGTGTGGTAGGTAGTACATGATAGTAGATTCTATTTGGTTTCCTAAGGCTCTTTGGCTTTTAATAAAGTTTAAGGTATCAGTCCTGCTGAAAGTGGATTCCATTCAATCTCAAACTAAACCTCTATGGCCAGGTAAACCTGGTGACAGGTTCCACTCAATTAGGCCTAAGCTTAGGAGCGCAGTTCAAAGAGAGATCCTTTAAATAACCATCAAAAGTACTTATTCTCACATGTCACTATACTAAATGGGCTGAAAGGGGGCCTACTGTTTTTGCTCAAGATTTTCTTAAATCAATTGCCCCTAGTACTAAAAGTTACTCAAAATAACCTTCAGATTAAGGCCACAAGATCATCGTAGCAGCACTGGGCAGAAATAATTGAGGGAACCAGCACTCTGTTAAGGTAGAATCACTTTTCGTAAACAATGATGAGATACACTTTGAAATTGCAAAAATAAATGCTTTCGAAACACTAGCTAGGAGACTTTTTCTTTCCCTCATCCCTCATCACCATCATTCAAAATATTCTCTAAGGTCTATGACATATAGTTCCACCTTTCTTTATATGTAAGATCTAGAAAAAAAGTTTAAATGGATAATCTTAACCCCAGAAGTATTATTGTAATTGCTTAAAAATATGCTGTATCCCCCAACTCCCTTCCTTTGCTCTCCAAACAATATAAAACCTGAGATCCTGGACAATTTGAGGTCATATCAGAGTTCACTGAACATCTAGAACAGTAAGTAGTGAAAGCAGACCCTTGCTGAATATCTTTCACACTATAGAATTAACAGGATTAATCAACATCAATTAATGGCTACATGTCAGATTGTATGGGCCGCTTCCCATGAGCCTAGATCTCAAGACTCTCTCTTAAAAATAAGATTTTTTTTTCATTACAAAAATAATATGCATGCATATAAAAATTTGTTAACTACAGAAAAGTAGAAAATAAAGCAAAAAGAAATGCTCCTGGCCTACCATTGCAATATAACCACTAT